TGGTCTGAACTGGATTTCACCAAGTAGGGAGTAGCTCCTGTGTAGATGGCGGGATGTCCAGTATTGTCTTCATAGTGGCTTTCCAAGTGCCTCTCCAAGCTGCTGAGTCAGCTGCCCAGAGCAGACCCAGTGAAGGCTTTGGAGGAATTCCAGGGGCTTTTTCCTGTAGGCCTCTGGTCAGACCCTTAGAGGGAGGTTTGAGAGATAAAATAAAGGCTATCCGGCTAAATTTGAATTTCAGATAAACAGCATATTCTTTTCAGCATAAACATAAACAGGTCTCATTCAGTATTTGGGACATATTTATGCTAAAAAAATTGCTATCTGAAATTCAAATGTATTTGGATGTATTGTGTTTTTTTATTTTTTTTAAATTTTTTTTTTCAACGTTTTTTATTTATTTTTGGGACAGAGAAAGACAGAGCATGAACGGGGGAGGGGCAGAGAGAGAGGGAGACACAGAATCGGAAACAGGCTCCAGGCTCCGAGCCATCAGCCCAGAGCCTGACGCGGGGCTCGAACTCACGGACTGCGAGATCGTGACCTGGCTGAAGTCAGACGCTTAACCGACTGCGCCACCCAGGCGCCCCTTGTGTTTTTTTAAATGTTAATTTGTTTTGAGAGAGAAAGAGTGCAAGCAGGGGAGGGGCAGAGAGAGGGAATCCCAAGCTGGCTCCAGTGCAGAGCCCGACTGTGGGCTTGATCCCAGGGAACCACAAGATATGACCTGAGCTGAAATCAAGAGGCAGACAGATGCTCAACGATTGAACCACCCAGGCACCCTTGTTTTTGTTTTTTCTAAATCTGGCAGCCCAACTTAGAGGGGAGGGGAGCAGAGATGGGGTCATGTTTGATCTTGCTGAAATATCACAGGAATAAGAGACCGTGTCCTCCTCTAGTAAAGGGGAGAAATCCCTTCTCCAAGGTTGGCAATGCGGAAGACGCAGGGCTGGAACCAGATTCTCCACAGATCTGCCAAAGTCTGGGGTCAGGGTGGGTCTTCAGATGTGTATCAACAGAGGGTGTGGTGGGAGTGAAGAAAAGAACCTTTCTTTGGCTACCTTCTCCTAGGGTCCCCAGGCCTTGCTTTCACATGGCCTCCTCTGCTGTCTTATCATCATCAATGACGTAACAACTGCCATGCTGAAAAAAGTTGTTGAAAAGGCTCCTCTTCTAGAGAATGTCCTCAAAGGGACTACTTTTCCATGTTATCTCCCAGCCTTGCCTTCAGCGATGCTTCTGAATAATCTTTCAGTGTTGGGCACCCAAACTCAGAGCTTCAAAGACACCTTCCCTTGGGGCTCTCAAGGGCTTTACCACTGTCCCCACCTCCATAGGTGCTTTATGGCCCCCACTAAGATCCTGCTTAAGAGTGGGAATAATAGCCTTCTCATGATTCCCTGGAGCTTTGGTGAGGTCAGGCTGGCCCTTTAAAATGAGGGTTTACTACAAGTTAAGGAAGGACAGAAGGGGAATGAACACACAGTATCCAGAACCTAGAGATAGCATCTGGGATCAGTGTTTCCCAAGCTTGCCTGATGATAGAATCCCCTGGGGTGTTTGTTTGAGTGTGTGCCTAGATTTCCTTGCCTTTCTTCTGGACATTCAGACTCCCGAAAGTCTGGGTGAGGGCCTGGGAATTTGCTCTTAGAAAGCGCTCCAGGTGATTCTCGTTTGCAGCAGGGTTGAGGACCTCTAAAGTAGGTGTCTTATGGGTCATTCTCATGGTCACGAAGCCCCTTCCCATCCCAGCTGCCACCATGTTAACCCTAGCACCTGGGAGCATGGGCCTGGTCTTTGATCTTCTGTATTCCCAAGGCCATTTATTCCTGAACTCTAGTGAGTCTAAGAAATGCCCAGGTTTGTTTGTTTGTTTGTTTGTTTTTGTTGTTGTTGTTGTTATTTTAAAATTGCAGATTCCTAGCTCCATTCCAGGAGGATCAGATTTAGTAGGTTCAGGGTGGAGTCTAGGAATGTGCATTTTTAAACTCTAAAGCCTTCTAATGCCAGTGGTCTCTGGACCACAGTTTGAAAAACAGTTTGACAAAGAAGAGAAAGTGATGACACATCCTTTCCTCCTTCCTAAATCCCACCTCCTCAGTGACAGGGACTTCTCCCAGGTGACTGATACCAGCCATGACCAGGCCTTTCAGGGAAGAGAGTGTGGTCCTGATCTGACAGACTTACCTTGCTGTGGATAATCAGACCTGAATATCACTCAGGAACCTTTATTCGTACAAAGGAAATTCACACCGAGGGCAGAGCATGCGTTTCATTCCTGCCCTTCAATGTGGACGTCGAACCCCTTGCTTTGAACAGTGGAGTGAACTTGTGCTGTTTAACTGTGTCTGGCAACCTCTGACAATATGGGGAGGGACACCTAGATTAAAGATTGATTCAGAAACTGTGCAAAAACTCCTAATTCCTCTAGCGTTGGACTGTAGAAACGGTTGGAAAGAATGGCAGCAGCCTTCCAGGGTGAACTCCTGCTCCTCTCCCCTTGACCCCTTCCTAGCTTTAGCCCTGATTCAGTCTCCAGCCTGGGGGGGAGTGGGGGATGGCTATTGGTAGATCCCACTAGTCTGGCTGAGCCACTGGGTCTGAAACTTGAGCATTATCAGAATTACCTGGGGGGTTTGTTCAAATACAGATTTCCCAGCACCACTCACAGAGTTTCTACAGCAGTGGGTCTGGGGTGGGGTCAGGAATTTGCATTTCTAACAAGCTTCCAGGTGGTGCTGATAGACCACGGACTACACTCTGGGACAGATTCCTCTAAACCATTGAGCCCCAGAGAGAGAAACCCCTCAGCTTTAATAGCGTGGGTCAGCCTACTTGGGACTGTATGTCTCTGCCTTTCTCAGGGTCACAAAAGTGATGGTGTTTGGGGTTGGAGGTTGGCTCCCAGTCCTCTTGGATCATTTCCCTCTGTTTCCTATGGATTCTACTGGCCTTGTTCATCCCAGTTGGACCCCATACTGAGAGCAGATGACCACTGAAGCTGAGCATGGCTAGGAGTGTCCCCTTGCCCGTTACTGTATTAGACTGGGACCAGGGGCTGAGAGAAGTGTGACGGGCAGGAAGGGGGCATTTTCATCCTTCTCCCTGCCCACACCCCACCCCACCCTTCTTTCCAGGAATGTGTCTCCTTGATTCAGGAATGGAATCTCCGAGTGGCTGGATGTGTGTGGCATAAAGGTTAGGCAGGTATGCTTGGGTTTAGAAGTTGCTATGAGCCCCAAAGTTCTCGTAATCAAGCATCTTGGCAGTTGTAGTGACATTTGGTGACACTTCTGGATTCTCTAGCTCACTGTGGCTCTGTACCGCTCAGGAGGTGGCACTGAGCCGAACCTCGCAGTGTTCCTCAGGTGACTTGCAGGGACCCGCTGGGACATGAAGTTGTCAGTAACCAGAGCTGGGGATATCTTTGACAACCAGTTTTGTGAGGGTGGAAAGTAGAATGATTAAGACTGGTGACCCTGGAGCCACAGAGTCTGGTTCACATCCAGACTCCTCCTCCTCTCCTCTTACTACCTGTGTGAATGTGGGAATGGCAGACAAACTCCCTTTCTCATTTTGCATGCGAATTTGACCTTCACTTAACTTTGTGTCTCCTTCCTCTGGGAACCTGATAAAGAGAGTCCGTCAACTACATTTAGGCAACATCGCGTATGATAAAAATGACCTCCTGTGATAAAAATGACCATCTGGTACTCCCGAAACCATTATTACACTATATATTAACTTGGATTTAAATAAACATTTAAAAAATGACTATCTGGAAGTAGTCATATTTGATCGGAGGCCTTCTTTGTGCCACTCTGAGCATGGTGACTCTTGCCACTGGCCTGTCCTCTGTGGGGCCCTAGAAGGTATGCTTACGGACGGCTCCATGGTCTGGTGTTCTATAGACTGGTTCCATTGAAGAGGAACCTCCTGAGGCTGCCCCCTCCCCATGAGCTGTGTCCTGTTACTTCCACTCTTCTAAGTGTATCTTATGTTAAGTGTGAGAGTCTTGTGAGCCTCAGAAGTAGTTACAATTAAAAAGATTCCTGGTGGGTATTATAAAGTGATTTCCGTATTTGTTTTGAAACTCTGCGTGCATTTTTCTCATCTATAAAATGGGGATGAGAACGTTACCTACCTTGGCATGAGGATTGTAAGGTATTGAGAACGGTGTGCTCCTGCCATTCTCCTCCTCACTGTCTCCTCACCATCCTTCTCCTCCTCCCATCACCATCCTCACCGTCCTCCTCACCGTCATCGTCACCGTCGTCATCACCGCCATTGTTGTTATTATGAAGGGAGGGCAGGAGGCCCTTTCTCCTTTGGGTCAGTTCCAGTCGCTTCTTAGCTACTAACTCATTGTATAGATTTGGACAAATGGCCTCATGCTTCAAGGACACGGATTCTTACATTATATTCCAGGTGCTTCATTTATTTGTTGGGTGAATCGATGAATTAGGAGAGTCAGCTAAGTGCTCTGTAGGGTCCTTTCTGGTTTCAAACATAAGATTTTGTGTGACGTTGAATCCAAGAGGAAAGTTGAAGGAGGAATGGGGAAAGAGAAAGCACCTGCGGAAAGAGTGGCGTCAGGGATCAAAGGTCTGGAGCAATCTGGAGACGGGACAGGTCATCAAGAGAGACGAAGATGTCCGGTGGTTCTGATGATCCCACAGGTCAATAGGTCAGTGCTTAAGAGGAATGTATTCTGCTCTGGCTTGGGAGTAATGCTTTCTAGAGCCTGTGTCTCCAGGCCAGGGTTAAAAGGATCCGAGGGCAGTGGCGTGTGGCTAAGAAATGGTCTAAATGGTTACTTTTGGTTGCTTTGGAGTATTTCTTTGACAGAACCTGCAGAGTAGCCTTATACTTTCTGAGGATACCAGTCACAAAGGCAACAGGGATAAGAATTTCTGACCTCCTTAACTGCTGGAGGGAGAAGTTAGCCCCGGCCCCGGCGGAAGGCTGTCCCTAATGTTGTTTCTCCCTCCCTCTTTCAGGTCTGAATGCTGGTGCTTTTTATGCCTTGTCAACTCTGCTGAATCGCATGGTGATCTTGCACTACCCGGTAAGGGAGTTCCCTCAGTCTGCTGGATCTGTAGAGAGTGAGATTTCTGTCCGGCTCGGCAGGAGCTGGGGCGGTGGTTAACCCGAGTTTCCCCCAGTCCCAGGCAGCATGGTACGGTGGTATGCTTATGGGATTTGGAGAGAGACAGCCCTGGGTCTCATCCCTAGCTGTGGTGGCACTAAATTGTGTGACAAGCTGGTTAGCCTCTCTGAGCTCTCGTTCTCCTCTCTACAAAAGAAACATAATTGCTTATTGAAAGAGTATTTGCAGGATTAGAAAGTAAATAATACCGCGCGCGCATGCGCGCGTGTGTGTGTGTGTGTTCATATATACATTCATATCTGTTATATGTATGTAAAGCACATGGCATGGTGCCTGGCAATATAGTAGGTAAACATACATCCATATAGATCGCATATGAAATATTTAATTTGTAAAATTGGGAGTTGCTCATCTGAAATCATTTCCTAAAATGTTGCCAGAACCAGCAAGGGCTGGATCCTGGGAATGGGATACTGAGTGTCCTAGAGTCCAGCCCTCTTTTGAAAGGACAAAGGCCTCGCACTTGCAGACGTGGGAGGCCGCTGTGGCTAAGGTGTTCCTGTTTTGGGGTCTGACAGGTCTGAATTCAGATCCTAGCTCTGCACTTAATAAATGTCTCATGACCTTGGACTAAGTAGGTGAATCTCACTGTGCCTTGGTTTTTTTCATCTGTAAAGTGGGGAATATTGATTCCTAACCTTATGGTGGGAATTTTCAGAAGTAAATGAGATTATATAACTGCTATCTTCCTATTCCTTTTGGCACTGAGAGCTCAAAAAAACTAAGTATGGAATATTTGAATATGTATGTATTTTAGTGTCCCCATCTGTGAAATGGGACTAATGATAAATAAGATAAAAGGATTGCTGTAAGGATTAAATGGTTAAAAATCTGCTGCAAAGTAGGTGTAAGGACAGTTTGGTTCACCTCAGCATCCAGGACCATGCACACACATGCAGGGTTATATTCGGTTGGAAGGAGCTACTATTCTGGGATTCTCTCCCCACCGGCAGCTTCTTAAAGGCCATCTCACCCTGCTGAGAGAGTTGCTTGCCCTTGCCCCTTCACCTCATGGTGACTGTGCTCTGTCTGATGTCTCATCCCATTGCTGGGTGATTGTTGGAGCTGTGGTTTTCCCAGGGGGAAGAAGTGAATGCTGGAAGAATCGGCCTGACCATCGTCATTGCAGGAATGCTTGGGGCTGTGATCTCAGGCATCTGGCTGGATAGGTCCAAAACCTACAAGTAAGTGACCTCCTCTTGGACTGAGAATTGGGGGCCCGTGTTTCGAAATGACATATTCATCAGCCACATGGCTCCAAAGGTTTGGGTGCAGCAACCGGGGGGGCTCAGTGGTCAAGTGGTTCACATTTATCTTCTCTGAGCCTCAGTTTCCTCATTTACAAAATGAGGGAAACAGTCCCCATTCCATGGGGATCTTGGCAAGGTTAGAGATGGACATGAGGCCTCCCACGGTACTTTTCCCTATCCCTCCATGTGGTTTGCAAAAGGGGCAGATGAGGGAGAAATGAAAAGGAACGTGAAAAGATGCCAGCAGCTAGAAAGTTTATGGAAGCCCCAAAGAGCGATGACGAGGAGGTGGTGCCACTGCCTGTTCCCTTGGCTCCCTGGCGGATCCCAGGGGGTAAAGCAGGGCATCTGAGCTTCCTCTGATTTACACTGTATCGTCTTGAGATTGCTTATACCTCCTTGGTAAATTCTGTGATGTGCTTTCGGCCTGAATGCCCAGTGTGTTTCCAGGAGCCCAGAACAGTGTTTCTAAGATTTTAGTGTATGCCAGGCTAATCCAGGACACTTATTAAAAATAGATTCCTGGGCCCCGCCCTCGTGGATGCTAATTCAGTAGGGGAATCTGCATTTGTAAAAAGCAACCCACCCTGGTGCCTCAATGCCACAGCCGGGCTTGGAGAAAAGGCTGTGGAGAACAGGAGACCCAACGTCCTTCCCTTCTTGGTGCTTCTGTCCAGTGCTCTGCACCCACTGGGTGCTGGTCGGCTGCTTAGCGGCCAGGGTTGTCTCGCACTGGGGCAGGGCGGCTGCTGTGTTGAGGCCTCCAAAGTCCCCAGTGCCTGGAGGCGACAGATGGTGGCAGACCTGTTCTCTGCCACACAAACCCGCTTCTGTGAGGCTCTGGTCAGACCAGGTCTCACTCTGGCTGCCCTACACAAAGGCCAGTTGAGGCCATCCCTGGGGATGTGGCCGCCTGGCTGGACACGACGTGGAGCCTGGCTTGGCTTAATGACTGCTGGTGGAGCTTGGCCGCCACCTCGTCTCTGCCATCTGTCAATTGCTTGCTTCGACCAGACATGAGAGCAGTGAGGTCTGGCCCTCCCGCGAACCTGCGAACAGCAGTGTCCCTTTATCCAGGGCTTGCTCTGTGGCAGGAGAGGGGAGGGAGTGGAGCGTCAGCTGGGCTGGAATGTGGGCAGCCAGATGATTGAGAAGAACTAGAAAATACAGTGGAAGGGCTGGGGGAACACTTCAGGGCGCAGACGCCACCACCCTTGCCTAGGGTCGCTGATGTCTGACTCCTGCAGTCAGTGGGACACATTCTCCCCCTGCGCTCTGACCCGGGCAGAGAAGGGATGAGAGCTCTGTGACCTGCTCCTTTTGGTGCCAGTTCTCTTCTCCCTGAGGCGCCCGGATTTGTCCCATTTGGTTTGGAGGCTGGAAATTGGGTGGTCAGATCCCTTTATTTCAGGCTGGGACTACATACAGGTTTTCTAAAGGGGTCAGTGCTTTAAAACGAAGCTATGGTTAAGCAAATATGGCAGAAGAGGAGCTAAACTGGTATCCATGAAGTTGCCTTGTGCGGGGTGGGGAGTGGGGGGGACTAGATGAGGGTGCAGGGTGGAGGACGAGGCAGCTCCTCTGTCCTCAGCGGCTGCTTTTTTTTTTTTTTTTTTTTTTTTTTTAACGTTTATTTAGTTTTGAGACCGAGAGAGACAGAGCATGAATGGGGGAGGGGCAGAGAGAGAGGGAGACACAGAATTGGAAGCAGGCTCCAGGCTCTGAGCCATCAGCCCAGAGCTCAATGCGGGGCTCAAACTCACGGACCGTGAGATGGTGACATGAGCTGAAGTCGGACGCTCAACCGACTGAGCCACCCAGGCGCCCTGCTTTTTTTTTTTTTTTTTAATGTTTATTTATTTCTGAGAGACGGAGACAGAGTGTGAGTGGGGGAGGGGCAGAGAGAAAGGGAGACAGAATCTGGAGCAGCCTCCAGGCTCTGAGCAAGCTGTCAGCACAGAGCCTGATGTGGGGCTTGAACCCACAAATTGCGAGATCACGACCTGAGCCAAAGTCGGACGCTTAACCAACTGAGCCACCCAGGCGCCCCCTCGGTGGGTGCTTTGAAGCCCCAAGTAGGAGGGGTGTCCTTTGCACCCTCTGGCCTTGAGGTTTTCCCAAGAGGTAGCCCTGTGGTGTATTCGAGTGTATTTGCGTAATAGTTTCTTTCAGTAGAGAGGGCATAGGTTTCAAATCCAAGTGCTGGGTCCAAATGCCAGCTCTGCATTTACTCAGGGGGTGACTTCGAATAAGTAACTTAACTGGTCGGAGCGTCAGTGTCCTTATTTGTAAAATTAGGGATAGTCCTACATTTCCTGCAGGGCTTCTGTAAGGCTTGAGTGAAATAATAAATGCAGGTGAAGTGCTGAGCAGAATTCCTGGCACCCAATAAATGCAGCATTAGTTTGGTATGACTGTAGCATACATCTGCTGGCATCCCCACCGTGTTTCTGGCTTCAGGGGAGACGAGTGAAGGCTGTAAGCTTTCATTGTCTTGAGTCCTCATTTTCGTGGCAGGAGGCAGAGGGATGTGCAGAAGCAGGACAGGGAGAGGAACGCGGGGCCAGCTGCAGGAGTCAGGGCTGCTAGAGTCATGAGTGGGCATCATGGGAGAAAAAGTGTGGGAGGGACACAAGCAGGGTGAGCCCTAAAGAAGCAGCGGCAGGTTGCCAATGGTCCTTCTGGGGGGACTGACAAAGGGAAATGGGGAGTGGGCAGAGCTTTCTCACTCTGACTTTGGAGACAAGCACTTAGTTCAGACAAGCGAGTGGCAACAGGAAGAACTTCGAGATGACAGACAGACTCTAAACGGCAGATCGCTGCCCAGCATTGTGATGGGGTCTTGGGGCAAAGCGGATAAGCAGAGTTGGGTAGCTTCTGGGGATAGTGCTGCACGCCACTGCTGCCTGACCACCGCTGATGTTTGTTCCGTAGTTTTGGTGAAGGATGAGGAAAGGAAAGGGTTGTGTCCTTCTTGCTTGTGGGGCAGCTTGATCTTGTTGAGCGGGTTCTGCAGGCGGAGAACACACATGCAGCAAGGTGGTTTCATACTCTTCTGGTCTTACCCTTTGTAGCAGTGGCCATGGTGTAATTAAGTGACTATTTGTGTGATCACCGGTTCAGTGCCCATCAACCTCATGGACAGAAAGTTCTGCGAGAGCAGATGTCCCAGCACACAGCAGAGGGCTTGACACACAGCAGGTCCCCAGTTGCTACTTATACAATGAGTAAATGAATGAATGAATGATCCTGTTAAGGTCAGAAGTGTATGACTCCATTTCTTTGCCTCTGCTTGTAGGGAGACAACCCTGGTGGTCTACATCATGACTGTGGTTGGCATGGTGGTGTACACATTGACCTTGAACCTGGGACACCTGTGGGTCGTGTTCATCACTGCTGGCACAATGGGGTAAGTTTCACCTCTAAACTGTTTAACTGGGAAGCAGCATCCCATGGCTCCTAGAGGTGCCGACATCCTGGAAGCAACACTGATCTCTTTGCTGACTTCTCATTGACCTCTGGAGATGTGGAAATCTTGCCCAGAGGCCTTGTTAATGTGTAGTACTGCAAAAGGCTGTCTAATAGGGCTTCCATGCTATTGGGATGGAGTTTGTCCTTCACAGACCTCACAGAGGCTAGGAAATGTTCGGAGTCTCTTTTAGCTCTGCCTGGGACAATGTGGAGTCATAGAAAGTACACAGGGCTAGGGATCAGAAAGCCGGGGCCTTGTCTCCATTCTGCCGCTGACTGATGACAGGTACATCACTGAACTGCTCTGAGCCTCAGTTTCTGCATCTTTAAAAGAAGATGAGAGTGGCCTATCTTGTAGAGTTGTTGCAAGGAGCGAGAGAGAAATAGATGTGAAAGCAGCATGAAGTGTGGTGCAGGTGTAAGAAATTAGAATTGGAATTTTCCGGACCTGTTATATGAGGAAGCCTAGGAAACAGCACACCTTCCACAGGGATCTCTGCTTAGCCTCACATCCCAGATATTTTCCTGTGTGTGTGTGTGTGTGTGTGTGTGTGTGTGTGTGTGAGAGAGAGAGAGAGAGAGAGAGAGAGAGATGGTGACAGAGACAGACACCCAGTCTTTCTCAGCAGGCGACTCTCCAGAGGGATAAAGGAGGATTCTGAGCTCCTCCTTCTAGGTCCCAAGAGCCATGGAGATGCTGTTCAGTGTCCAGGGACTTCCCACTCCCAGCACAGGGCTTATGGACCTTTGACACAGAATTTCTCAGCTGAGGGCTGAACACTGCAGGCATCCCCATCCCTTCTGTAAACATTGACCTTGTCTTTAACTGATGGCTGGAACTAGAGGAAGCAGGGGACTCCAGGAGCCTCAGGAGCATGAAGCCTACATATGAACTTCTTCCTGACCTACAGGGGTATCTCTTTCCTTGGTATGACCATCTGGGGGATGGCCTGATTATTCAAAGGCCTGAAAAGTCTTGATGGCAAGAAATGAAACAGGAAAAGGAGTTCTAAGGGAGGTGGGCTTCTTATCCTCCTTGTCCTTGAAGTTCTCCATCACCTTGTTTCTGTGATCGGCCTTCAGCTTCTTCATGACCGGCTACCTCCCCCTGGGATTTGAGTTTGCTGTGGAACTGACATACCCAGAATCAGAAGGCATGTCGTCTGGCCTCCTTAACGTGTCTGCCCAGGTAGGGCTCTTATTTGGTGGCGGCCCCAAAGCAGTGGCTCTTTGTTCCCTACCTGACTTGGCTGTCACAGGCATTGCATCATGGCGGCTCAGTTCTTCTGTGGGCTAGTTGGCTGGGCCCTTGTTTCCAGTCTTCTTGGTGCCTTTCCAGGTATTCGGGATCATCTTCACCATCTCCCAGGGTCAAATTATTGACAACTATGGAACCATGCCCGGGAACATCTTTCTGTGTGTGTTCCTCACCCTTGGAGCAGTCCTCACTGGTGAGTTGGGGCCTCAGAACAGGATGATGCTCAGGCTGCTCATGGGCTTAGGCTGTTGGCAATTTGAGACCTCAGTGTTTTGACTGATCATACAGATTGGGGGATACACATGCAGAGGGGCAGAAGGGAAGGCTTGTTAGGAAATATGTTTGAGAGGCCTGTTTTTAGTGGAATGAGCCTGGTTTTGGTACCAAAAGACCCTTGTTTGCATCCCAGACTATGACACTGACCTCCATAGCTGTTTGACCGTGGGCAAGTGGACGAACTTCTGGAAGGCTCACTTTCCTAATCTATAAAATGGGGGTTGTTGTGAAGATTAGAGCAATGTGTGCAAACTCCCTGGCAAATATTAGTGATCTATAAATGAAGGCCAATTTCATCATTGGCTTCTGCCTGTCAGGGACATCAGTGATCCCCAGGCTTTATCAAGTTGGCAGGTGGAACCCCCATTTCCCTGGAATATCTGAAGTAGGTGACCCTTAGGAAAATGAGGGCTCCCTTTCTTGGGTGAACTTGACCATTGGTCTCCTTAATAACTCTTGTGTCTCTGTTGTTGTTCTTTTTCAATCCCTTGACCTCAGCATTCATTAGGGCAGATCTCCGGAGGCAGAAAGCAAACAGAGAAACTCCTGAGAATGTGAGTATGTGGGAGCTTGCTTTGCTGAGAGCTGGGTCCCAAGCTTTGTTTGAGGATGTGGCAGCATGGGTGGGCCCAGGGGGCTCCCAGAGTGGGCTGGTTCTCTGGATGCTGTGAGATCAGCTCAGTTCGCATAAACATGGTGCCCAAGAGTTTCCTTGGTGGGTGTTTCAGCACGGTTTTTGTGCTGTTCTTTCCCGGACTCTTCTTCTGCTTCCTTCCCTTCTCCTGGCCTCCCTGCTGTGGTCCCCAGAGCACGTCACTGTTGTCACAGTCTGCTGAGCAGCGCCCACTCCTTGGATCCTGAGACAAGTCCTGAGACCCTGGCTCCACTGCTTTCAGCCTTGGGGTCAGTGGCTGGAGAGGAAAGGTGGGAGCCTACCTCGACCACAGTGGTGGTGGACTCAAATCAGTGGCTCTTCTGGCAGGTTACAGCCCCTTAGGCAGTGCCATGGGGATGAAGGGACCTGCACCAGTGGACTTGCAGTAAGGCTCTAACAGGAGAAGTCAGGAAGCAAGAGCTGATGGTGATATAGGGGGAGGAGTGAGTATGATCTAGAACAGAAGAGGGTTTCCCAACTGCTTTAATCAGCTGGGAACTATTTTAACCAAAATGTTAGGTATCAGATCTGAGCCAGGATGAAAGCGATTTCAAATCTGAGGAGTAAAAGTGGGATATTACTTAAAAAACAAATAAACACCCAAAACCTATTACAGAAGTAATACATGTTCTTAGTAGAAAAACTAAAAAATACAGAAACGTATACAAAATTTAAAAATCATCCTGTATTATCACCTAGAGATGAAATGCTGGTTGTTTTACAATTACTTAAATGTTTATATCTACATAGAATATGTATGTGTATATATTTTATATTTATATATGGATATGTGAATATTTTTAAAAGAAAAATGGAATCTTCTATCGCTTTTTTTTACTTGTTGTGAACGCTTTATCAGGTCATTATTCTTTTACAATACACTTTTTTTTTGTCTTCAAGTTTCTTTTTCTTTAATGTTTATTTTTGAAAGAGAGTGCGTGCCCAAGCAGGGAAGGGGCAGAGAGAGAGGGAGACAGAGAATCCCAAGCAGGGCCCATGTTGTCAGCGCAGAGCCCGACACAGGGCTCAGACTCACTAACTGTGAGGTCATGACCTGAACCAAAACCAAGAGTCAGACGCTCGATCGACTGAGCCAGCCAGGCGCCCCTATAACATGCTTTAAATGACTGCACAGTGTTTAAATGAGCGCACATGGGTAAACCATGATTTAACAGTTTTCCTGTCTGTAGACATTAAGGTTGTTTCCAATCATTGTTATAAACAATATCGTGAGTAACGTCCCGGAGGCTGAATCTTTGCGCGTGTTCTTAAGCACAGTGTTTCCTTGAGAAATGGATCCATGGTCACGCACATTTTAAAGACCTTGATACGTGTTGCCAAACTGGTGTCTAGAAAGGTACTATCAAAACTGTCAATTTGTATTGCTATAGCAGTGTATGAGTACCAATGTTGAGGATATATCGTTTTGGAAAACTTTGCCAATTTTTCAAAGCAAAAAATGGTATCTGAAAGAGGTATAGTTAGCGTTGTAAGGATATGTGCTGGCAGATAGATGATAACCTTTAGTTCTCTATTATTTGTCTTCTGATATCATGCTGTAGAGTTGGCAGTCTGCAGCAGGGAGCAGTAAATTCAGCGGGGAGGCAGGGAAAGACTTGGAGCAGAAATGCCATTCTCCAGACTGGCGTGAGGGCTGTGGCATTGCCACGGCAGAGATGGGCTTTCACCTCTGCCCATGTAAAGGAAACGATGGTGTGGAACATTTTGGTGAATATATAGTGAGCCTGGGTAATAAAAAAGGAGAGCCGGTAACAAAACAGGAGAGATTTCTTGGGAGAAGGTTTTAATTTGGAATGTGACATATTGTGTCAAGTGATAAGAGATTTTGTTTCCTCTGTAATCTGTGTTTATGTTGGCAGACATGGGCAAACATGAGGAAAGAAAAGGTCACCTGTTAATCCTAGCACCCGGAGATAACCTAGTAACATTATAGTCCGTTGTTAAAGTTGTTTTCTTTGGGTTTGCTTGTGCATATTGGTTTCCCAAACTGATTGTTTACTTAATGTTAGCTTGTCAACTTTCCCCCAGTTACATCCTACAACTCTCTATTTCCCTTTCCTCTTGTTTAATACTTAGGTTGTTCCACTATTTCATTATTCTTGCAGCGGCATCTTGGTGCACATAGACCAGGTTTGTTAATCAAGGTTGGAGTTGTTGGCTTACTCACCTTCTGGATGGGGTATTGGAAATAGCACTGAGTAGGAAGAGGAGACAAATCTGGGGATCGTGCTTAACCGTCTGTGTCCCTGGATAACTCACCATGCATCTTTGGACCTCACTTGCACCTGAGGAGGCTTATTGGTATGGGAAGGTCAGAGTCATGGTGAGTTGACACCCAGGGAAGCCAGGGCTGTTACAGAGCATCCCTCCACTGGAGCCCAACACTAAAACCCAACGGCAGTCAGTGTAAGTGAGACCTGAGACCTGGCCACCGCCACATGAATTCATCATCAGAGCCAGGTAAAAAGACAGGGCGCCCGGCAGATGTGGCCAGAGCTGCTCTTTCTAATCTATGAGATGTACAGTTTTGGAAAAAAGAGACAGAACTGGCTTGGGGCTAATGACTAACCTCGATGATGAAAATCTTGGTTTGGGTTTCCATTTTTCTTCCAGTTGGTAGTTCTCAGCCAACAGACGGTGGCTGTACTTCTGTCCCCACTAAGCTGGGTTTCTGGTTGTGATTTCAAAGTGCCAGCTTTGGAGAGGGCAGGCATGTGTGGGCACACACGTGTGTGTCCGCGAGAGGAGAGAGGCTGCCTGGTTGACTTAAGCAGGCTGCTGGTTGCCTGAACGAAGGCTACTCATGGCGGAGGTTGACCTGGGGCCCAAAAATTAGCAAGTGAGAATGGGGACGTTGGGTTTCTACAGCTGTTGACGGTACGTTAGCCTCAAGACAGTCCCTGGGGGAGAAGCACCATTTGTCCAGTTGGCACTGGACTCTAGCTGGGCCTGTAGATGTTCCTCTGGCTCTTGAATGGTGGTGGGGCAGGGCTGGGCCTGTGCCAAGGTCTTCTCCCTAACTGGATGCACACTCGAGGTAAGAAGCAAGGCACCGCATGGACTTAGGGACCCCACAGGTGACTTCCAGGCCATACTTAGTTCCAACCCCACCTCACATCCTTTCCCCGAGAAAGTCAAAGCCGCACTGACCCCAAGTCTTCTTCTCTAGGTATAAAGGGTATAGAGATATTTCTAGTCAGTGAGTTTATATGCATCCTGCCTTTATACAGATTCTCTTCGATGCATCCATCCCCTGCACATTATCCTAATACTCCTCGTCCTGGGGGCTGCCTCCAAAGGAAGGTAGTCAGAAATTCCGTGGGAGTTGCAGACGCTGCACTTTGGATAGCTCCTTGGTGGCCGGTCCAGATGAGTTTTAGGCTGTCAGAATGGGGAGTGAGAGGGAGCCTGGAATGGCACTTGGACCAGGATGGTTTGTGGTCGCTGTGGCATCAGAGACAGATGGCTTTCTTGGCTTTTTTCTTTGAGGATGCTGTGATGGTGCGTGTTTAAAGGGCACGCTGGCAAGGACTGGTTGCTTTTCTTCCCTTTGTTTACTCTTGGGGCCGCCGAGGGGCCTCTGGCTCTTGGTTTTCCCACTTTGCCACTGATTATGGTCACTAACAGGCAGTCGTTCCGGCCCAGGTGGAGTCTTGCCCCTCTTCACCCACAGGGTTGCCTGCTTGTTTTGCCTTGCAGAAACTCCAGGAGGAGGGGGAGGAGGAGGAGGAGAGCAATGCCAACAAAGTACCCACCATTGTGTCTGAGGAGCACTTCTGAGAGAAGAAGGTGGTGGCGACTCAGGGAACACCGACAGCACCGCCCCCCGC